CCCCCAATTGCCAAAATTCCCGATATCTCCCCTGTTGTGGTCGTTCATAACGAAACATATTAGCCCAGTAATATAATTTCAGTGGATAACCTTCTCTAATTAATTTATTTTGACAAACCAGACGAACCATGCTGGCGGTTCCCTCCGGTCGTAATACTAGTTCTCGTCCCTTTCTATCCGCAAAGGTATACATTTCCTTGTGAATGATATCGGTCGTGGAACCCAAGGAAGTGGTGAATAACTCTTTTGCTTCAAAAGCGGGGAAAATTGCCGGCTGATAATTATTTTGATGAAGTATTTCAGCAACAATTTGTTGTATTTTCTGATAAATTAGCGAGCGAGGTGGATAAATATCTTGGGTGCCACGCGGTTTATTAGGAAGGGTCATTAATATTTTTTATCTCCTTTTACTCCTTCGCCAGAAAAAAATAACCGCAATTAATAGTAAAAAAATTACTATTCCCCCACCAATAACTAATCCATAAGGAAAGCTATCTTTTTGGGGATTTTGGCTTCTCGACCTTCGCTCATTCTCTTCTTTTTCTCTTTTTAATCTTTCTAACTCTCTTTCTAATTCATCCTTTTTTCGCTCTTCTTGCTGGCTATCAATGGAATTAGGATTTTGTTGCTGCTTTTTTTCTAATTCTTGTTTGACTGCGCTTAATTGATTTTGTAAATCTTTTATCTTCTCTTCCAGTTCAGAATTGTTTGAGGAAGAAGGTTTTTTTCCTCTCCCGCTCCCTTTTGAGCCGTTGGAATTATCATTATTACCCGTATTGTCGTTGTTGTTTGTGTCATTCCCATTACCGTTGCCAGAAGGGGATTTTTGATGTTCTTCTTCTTGCTTGATAAAATCCTCTAATTCTTTTACTTCTTCCTTTAAATCTGAATAAAGTTTATCACTAATAATCGAAGGATATTCCTCTCTTATATCAGTAAAAAATTCTACAAAATTGCCAGAAAGTTTTTTAATCATCTCAAACTCTTCCTTAGTGGGATGAGTCTTACTTTCCTCTCATTTAAGACAAAAATCATTATTTATCCAAAGATATTCAATAAAAATCCAAGCCGCATTTTCTGCAAACTCTTTGTCAGTTTCTTGTTTAGTAAGATCTTTACCTTCTTTCATTATCTCTGCCACTAAATCATAGGCTTTTTTTAGGGAAATTGATTTATTTTTTCGACCTTCGCTTAGGGATTTATAAGTAGTTTCTAACTTTATTTTATATTCTTCTATATTAACCATCATAACCTAAACTTATCATTATTCCCCAAAACTTTCAATTACAATTTTTACAATTTTGTTGTGTGTGTGTGTGTG